ACAGCGGCTATACCCTTTAAATATACATTTTTGTCATATCGTTTTAGGGTTTAGGGCTAAAATACCACTTTAGCCCATTGGGCTAGAGTTATTTCTTCAATTATTTTATTTATACAAGTGATTTTGGGGAATGAAAATTTAAATTCTTTCCAATACCTCCCATTCTAATGATTTCTAGCTATTAACCCATTGGGCAAGAATAAAAAAATGAATTTTATTTATAACAAATAATACGGGTTAAACCCACAAATACAATAACAAAAAATAGGGATTCGCCAACATTTTGTGGATCAAAGAAGGTTGAATTTCATTAGCGTTAAATTTTGTGGATCCGCCAACATTTCATGTTCCGTTAAATTTTTTTTTTTAATAAATAGTATAGCCGTGTCGCTATAATATGGTTTTTTAATTTTTTTTTATATTAAATGAATAGTATAGCCACCCGGCTATACAAGTAAAAAAAATAAAAAATAAAAAATGGGCCTCCTTGCGGCTAGGCGAGTTGTTTTTTTAGTATTATATATATATAAATTAAGGAGTATAGCCGCGCGGCGGGACTCGGGATTTTGTAAATTTTGTTTTAATAAATAGTATAGGCGCTCGGCTATACGCAATATTTTTTTTTACTTGTTTAAATAAATAGTACCGCCGTGCGGCTATACTAGGTCCTTTTTGAAAAAAAAATTCCCTAATTTTCTTTTATCGATAAGAGTTGTTTATAGCATTATCCATTACTATTACTACATTACCCGAGTCTCTATTGTCCCCTTTTGAGGTTTTACTTTTCCAAAGTTATTACCTGTATAAAGATTTAGCATTTTGCTGTTTAATACTCGTATTATACACGTACGTAAGTATTTTTCAATAACACCTATGTTTTCCATACACGTCTTAAAGACTGGGTAAAATACACCTTTTGTTAAAAAAAGGAAACATACAATACACATATTGTACACATACGTATATATTTTTCATATACACGGTTTTTTTACAAAATTTTCAATAATACACACAAAATTCACATACACGTGTAAATTCTTCATATTATTGAATACAAATAATATATATTAAAATATTATATAGTGGCCGAATAAAACACGTACGTATTTTATTCATATTTTTCCCGTTCCGTATTTTACTAACTATGAAAGAAATTGAGAGGCTGATATTATTTCTTACTTGTGAGAAAAATGCAAGATGGTGATTTGCAATCCCTTTGCCAATGAGAACAACAATTTCAAACAAGGTTTTATGGGTATAGTAGTAAGAGAGGTGGTAGTATTCTTCATGTAAAGTGTTGTTTGAAAACTGAAGCAATTACCAAGACCACTCCAACCCAGCACTCAATTCTGTACGAAAAATAATGTGTGCGGTAACATAATTTAGTAGCACTCGATGTAGATCAAAGGCAAACATTCTCACCAAAAAAAGAAGAAGAAAAAATTGAACTCTCAGATTGATTTACTGTGAAATTTCTCTATTTTCAATATTTGCTTTGGATATGTTGAAACTTGGAGCCCCAACTCACTTTGGCCAACTCCGAAATCGGGGGTACTTTTCAAGTGTTTTGACACGTGGCAAACACAATTCAAGTGTTTTAGACCGCCTAGGTGTTTTGAAAATGCAGCAACAAGCTAGGCGTTAAGAAACTTGACTTTCATAATAAAGCCCAGCATATAAAGAAGCGTACAAGTAATCACACTCTCGGCCTTTTGAAAATGCAGTAACAAGCTATGCATTAAGAACAATCACTTAAGTGTGAGGAAATTCTTGGTATTAATGCAACTAGACAGGCCTCTGTAAGAAACGGAAAATTATCTGAAGGCCATTCTGCACTGTAAAATGTACCTCACAAAACATATATATACATGACTATTAACGCAAGATCAATGGTCTACCTGCTTTCATTGCCTCCTTAGCTAGTTGCTCATCCATCCTAGAAGAGAAGTCTTTACTTTTTGCTAGTTACTTGGCCATACAAACTCTGTTCAACCTCCAATCTCCAACCGTTTTTGCTTCGAAGATAAATCTTTCGCGTGCAGCACATAATATATGCCTAGCCAATCAGTATTCTGGTTCTGTTTTTGCATTATTTGGGTGAGTACAAAGAAAATGATCTCTGATCTGTAAGATGACAAAGCATCTACTTGCATGTAGGGTTATTTTCTGTATTATATAGTAGGGTTTTTATTTTTTATGCATAATATACTGGGGTTAACATGAAAGAGTCAGGTGATTGTAAATGACACATGATCTCCATGTGAAAAGCATAGTGCAAAATCTGGAAGACCCCCACATAACATTGATTGATTGCGACTTGAAACAACTCAGTATGCAAAGATATACATATGTTGTCTGTATATATAGATGGATGCAAAGATATACATTGGATTTTTTCATTGCCTCCTTATCAATACAGCTCGAAACCAAGTAGGACCAGAAAAAGTTTGTTTTCTAAACAAGTGTACGAATTTTTGCACAGGTAGTATTTTATAGATACACAGAACAGAACATGGAAATACATATACAGGCGAAACAAAAACAAAAGAATACGACAGTATGCTGTCAACGGACAGAGACTTATCTTCAAATTTGATTAGCTAATATACGAAAATAACAAAAACAGCATGTGCTCTATAGTTCAATAACTTACAACCAAAATGAAAGTTGTCAGTATTAAGGATACATGCATGACATAAATATAATATGCACAAAGCTGATTTTTGTTTTTTTATTTATTTTATAATTCAGCTTTGCACATATTATATTGATGTCATGTCCATACTTTTACTTAAATATATGACAACCCAGCTGTTATTCTTCTATGTCAAATGCCTTACATCTCTTCAGAGCTGGAACATCTATGATTGTTTGTTTGTTTTTGTTTTTTTTAAAACACCAGCGTTATTGGGGAAATCAAATATAAGACTTCAAATGCATGAATAAATACTTTCAATCACTTGATCTACAAGCTCCCAAAGGTTGTTTTTCAATCTACTCTTGATTTTGACTTGGCTAGAACATGCATATCACAAGCAACCCTTGCATCTGCCTAAAATTGCAGCTGGTGTTTTGTTTCTTGAATTAATCAAATTTTGGGGAATTGTTTCTTTTCTGGTGATTTTTGTATTTCTTTTATATATAACTTAAGTGACATGGGATGGTTATATTAATTCTTTTGATGCAAATTAGGTAGCAATCAACATCACCGTGCAAAGAAATCATAGATTTTAGTGTTCTTTTATTTGCATATGCGTTCTCACTATTCTGGGAATTGACAACAATCACCGTGCAAAGAAATCATAGATTCGTTGAATTTTAACCCTTATAAACCACACAAGAAGAGTGAGACTGCTTCTCTCCAGTGTGGGACAAAGGTGTTTTTCCTATACAAACTCTACCAGTACATGTAGTACTATGGGAAGTTCAGGCGGTGGAGGATCAGTTCAGTCAAGCCAGGATGTGGGTGTGGTGATCACGGAATCAATTAGTATGCAGTCCATCTGATGAATTCACGGAATCAATTAAGCAAGCTTAAAATATCAAACAAACAATGCAAGTAGAACTGATGAATTCACGGAAACAACAAATCAAAGTAAAGAAAATTAAGCATTCGACAGATTGATGAATGAAAAACTTACGTGCGGAGCCGATCGAGATAGATACCGTTTGCTTGATTTTCTTCCGGATAATGCTGCGGAAACACAGAGAGAACGAACGAAACCAGGGCCTAGTAGAAGTAGAGCAAATTTTGGTCTATATCGTGCCCATTGGGTGTTGAGGTGGGCCAGAGGCCTAACCAAAAAACCCCAACATTGGAAAGGAGGACAGCCCAAATTTAATCTTGGACCCACTCACAATAAATAATAAAGCTCCTATTAATGAACAATCAAATTTGGGTGAGCTATATAGCCTATGGGCCTCAATGCCTCACACAGCTTCCCAAAAGTGGAAAAGGAAACGACCCAAGAGTTAGGAATGGCAACGGGCCGGGTATGACAATACCATCTCCGTCTCTGCTCTTCATCCCCGTCACCGTAAAAAAGCTTACGTAGTAAAAAAGCTTTGCCTGGCCGGCTGGGATTGTGGATCATATCTGGAGGTGGAGAAATAATAGGATTTTGGGAATGAGAACAAAGCTTGTCATGGCTGTGCTATGTTCAACTTGTAATATTTCAAGTCTTGCTGTGGATGACCAAAGCTTGTGCTGCTCAAATTGTGTGAGCCAATTATGCAGTAATCTTCCTGTAATTTTGAAAGCTGCTGGAGTCTTCCTTTGTGTCTGTTGTGTTTCCCTCTGCTCTGTGCAAGGCTTTGCATTGTGTCTGTTCTGTTGTGTACACTACTTACACAACAAAACAGACACAAATGAGGAGGAGGAGTTACTATAGGAAGAGGAGGAGGATAAAGAAATATAATTAGAAATCATATTGCGTGCAATGTTTTTTTGGACTCGGGAAATAGAAATAAAGGCAATCCTTGAGATTCGTAGATTCGAATTTACACAAAATTTGTTTGATTTGAATTTGGTGGATGGATGTGTGAAATGTACGAATTGAAATGATAATCAGGCAGATAATGTGGCAGAAGAGCGACGAGCCTCCACGTTCGGAGTGCTCTCAGGGATTGGTTCCTCTGCATTCGTCTGCGGAACCCTCTTTACTTGTTTCCTCTCCACTTCCTCCACTTTTCAAGTCAACTGAAGCTCCTCTCTCTCTCTCTCCCCTCTACTCTATCATGTCTTGAAACTAATTATGGTTTGGTTGTGTTGTTATTAGGTTGCGACGGTGGGTGAGGATACTTAGGTGGAATGCTTACCTAGGCACTCGTGATGGAGAGAGGCTGAAAGGGCAGTCAAAAGAGAGAGATGAAGTTTGGATTGACCGGAAAGAGCAAAAATCGATGCCACATCATTTCCATTATTTCTTTCTTGTAAGTTTTATTGTATTGGCCAATACAATAACTTTAGATAATAAAATAATGTAAGACAAAATAAGGGAGAAAGATCACTTGTGATGCCCCGTATGTCGGCATCCATATTCTTATTATAGTGCTCAACAATAGGAAAACAAGGGGTTTCTCACACACACAACTAAGATACCATGAGACCTTTGGTCTACAAGTCAATTCCCTTTTTCCACTATAAAAGCAATATTCTTGTGTTGTAAGTTTTAAGTTGTACTTGTACGTGATGTTCTGCGTCCGTCCACCTCTATTTGAGTCTGATGTGGCAATCCATGACGATTTTTCTTCTTTCACTTTTTATTGTTGGAAAAAATATATATAAAGGCCCAGGCCCAGCCTACTACACAATGGAGAAATCCAAAATTGAGCATTATGGAGAGAAAAATGGGATGAACGCTATTTCACTAGTGTTTTCAAAAGAACATCTGAATCATATTGCTGGGTCAAGCCAAAGTATCTGTTTGAGCTCCAACCAATTTTGCATATAATCCATCCTTCTCGAGGAGCTCTGTGTGATTACCCATCTGCATATATATAATATAGGGAGCTTCACATTACACAAATCATAAATCAATGACAACGGGGCATTCGGATTGTATGTGAATATATACGCATCCTTTTTTAAATACAGAATTAAATAAATCAATAAAACCTGACCTCAGTGATTCGACCAACATCCATTACAACGATTCTGTCAGCAGCTTTTATGGTTGAAAGCCTGCAAAACGACGCATACTACTCAGGATAATGCAGAAGATATCAAGAAAAGAAAAGAGAAGAATGGGGTTGTTGTAAGTTCACCTGCGTGCTATGACAATGACGGTTCTTTTTGCTTTCATGTCAGAACAAAATTTGATGACAGTCTAAGATGTAATAACAAAAATGGTGGAAAATACACAATGAACTTATTCTGAGTGATGGATGACAAATTTTCAGAAGAAGAAGCTTACCTGACCAGTGATTGGTTCATAAAGACGAAGCAAAAGATTCACCAATGTGCTTTTTCCACTACCACTCAGACCAACCTTGGCAAAATTTAGATGCAAGTCAGTCCTTAAAAATTTCCTGCTCTCTAAGAGGGATCATAATGTAAGCAAAGCTATCTCTTACAATTGCAACCACTTCATGTGCTTGTACGGAAACATTTATGCCATCTAGTACGGGGGTCTGCTAAAATTTTGGAGAGAAGTTTTTAAAAAGGGTAATAATATGAGAAAACATTTGAAAGGAAAATACGCAATGGAAGAATAAATTGGAATTATTTAGGCCAAAAAAGACCTACTTTTGCCCTTGAAGGATAGCGAAAAGAAACATTTACAAACTGAATATGTCCCATTACCCTCTGCAACTTCACACCTGCAGACAGTGAGATTCCATTTTATGATAAATACATTTGAAAAGAAATTATATGAATTCATTTGAAGATATATGTAATTCCAGATAAGTTTATTTTTCTAAGCACAAGCGTTAGTTTCTAAAGCACCTCTAAGCAGCATGCAACATATAAAGCAGGGTTAAGAGTCTTTAATCAAAACAACCTTTTGATAAGACTTGGTCGCTGGGCAACAAGTCCATTAACTGAAGAACCTTTTCACTTGCTCCAACAGACTGCATCATTGATGATACATTGTCTGTGACCCTCCAAGTTGCGTAAATTAACCACTCACAATACAGTACATACTTAGTTAGTTGCTCAGCTGATACATGACCACTCATAATTGAAATTCCTCCCCACACCACTGCAATAATCTGTAGACGTGATTTGACAAAGTGGAGTCAAATAATAGATTTTCATTTAATTGCAATAACTTAAGACATTTTCCTTTCTCACTTCAGAAAACCAATAACTTAAGACCCAACACCTTATGATAGTTAACTAAAAAGAGCCAAACCTGTGTAGAATGATAAAGAGTACTGAAACTCACACACCAGAATCCATAAGCCACACTCTCTCGAATGTTTACAAAAGCAACTTTGTCTAGCCATTGCTTGAACCTAATATCACATAGGATGCATGCTTTAGGTGTCAGAATTCTCAGACTTTCTTGTTCTATGTTTATTAGAAAGACAACCGTAAAAAGAAAATGCCTGACAGGAAATTAATAGTAAAATATATACCTTCCAAATTCTTTTCTTTCAGTTCCATAAACCCGGACAGTTCTCATCAAGGAAAGTGTTTCTTGTGCAGCCTACATTCAAATAGGAAAGTGATCAACTAAAGAAGATTAACATAAATTTTGGAGCATTTTGGATCTAAAGTCTGCCTATACTTCATTGGCACCAGCAGAGCTTTCTTTTGGTACATATATATTGTTATAAAATATAAAATAATCAAACATATCACTCCTTCATTTATTGTGATAGCAGAACTTTGTGGTATAAATAACCTCAAGCTTCAAAAAATCCAAATCAGATATAAAGTAGAAAGAAGGTAAAGAAGCTTGCTGTCCATAAAGAAGAAAAATCATAGATAACACACAGCAGATAAACAATGTTGATGATGCGAGAGGCCGAGATAATATCAGCAAATTGATCAGTGCACCTATCCCCTGAATACAGAAAAACTGTAACTTAGACTAGACTATCAAAAAAATCAAATGCACATTTGGGGAAGGGGAAGGGTAAGAACCGCAACCTGAAGAACATTGCGTAAGATCAAACTCATATCATTCGCAATAACAAGAGATAATCGTTGACAATCGGCCCCAAGTCTGCTCGTTAAATCACCAACTGCTTCTCTGTCGAAAAAGGATATATCCTACATCAAAGATGACATCAAAATAGAGTACAGAATTGAATAAAAACGAAGATCAAGCAAGTCAACATTGCTTTAAATAAATTTGTTGACAATTGGCACCCAGTTGTTGCAATTGCTAAATGAAACACAAACCTGGAAAAGAAGAACTGAATAAAGAGTTTCCCTGAGACACTTCATCTGCAGTATGATGTTTCGAGCAGCAGATGGTGTACAAAGAAATTAGATAACAATCCCGGAAATAAAAAAATAAACAAAACCATGCTTTCAAACAGAGAAAGCACAAATATACAAATCTTTATTATTTTATTTAAAAAGAACACTACAGGGATTTAACACTCGTATAGAGGTCTCGTTGCTATTGGATTTCAAGTGTTTTCTTTCTTCTTTATTATTGGGAAGGAATGAGAGAACCACTCACCAAAATAATGTTTGCAATCCCAAAACAACCACTTCGCAAGCCGCTGAAATTCAAATGAAACATAGTAAATAATCACATCATATCACAAAACAGCCAACTCTAGTACAAACAAAGAAAAGAATGTTTTCAGATTCTGCAATCAAAGTGAATATAAGGACTGACCTGCATATCCCTGAAGTGATACACAAAAAAGCTACAATTTTTGAATTCCTAGAGAAAATCACAGCATCACTACTCTGAGCAGCAAATACGGATTCCGCCAATATACTTGGAATAGAAATCTCAGAAAGATGCAACATGAAAATATAAAAACATTACAATTTACACACGTAATAAAATGTGTCTAATTTAACAACGACATATGCTTACTTCTCAATCTCAAAGTCGCTAATTTGCTCATACAAACTATGCAGTGATGTATATTAAACACTGACAAACACCCCAACCAATATCCAAAGCAAGTTCAATTATTGCAGGCAAAGAATTAAAACGCACCGCAGCAATGATCAAAGAAGTAAACGCGACAAAGATAACCTATCTTGATCCATGACTCTCCACCAAATCCCCCATTCGACGAAGAGCGTGCAGTAGCGTAATGGGCTTCGCCGCCGTGCAGCTTTGCTCTTCCTTATCATGCTCACTTAAACTCCACCAACTACAACAACCACCTGGAAATGCCGAACCAAAAGGCCCAACCCACTTTTCAACAGCCTCGTTTCGGATATGGAAGCGGCGGGGTGGTTTTGATGTGAGGCTGTGAATTGGGATTTGGGGTATGGATATAGTGCTGAGATTACGAAGAGGCTTTCTGTGATGGAGATAAGAGGAGTTAGGTGGTGCTTCTCTGATAGCTGTTATGTATGGATTTCTGTAAGTGGTTGATGTATGTTTTACCTATTAGCGGAAACGGTAGTGATATTTTGTAGTTGCCATCCTCGGAAATGGGAGATGTGGTGGTGACTGATTTAGGAAGGTGATTCTATTTCCTGAAAATTTACTTCGTATTTGTATACCTTCCCCATTTTTCAGGAAATTATTCTTTTATCCCTCATCAAATGGCTTTATTTTTTTTCTTCGAACTTCAAAAAGCACTAGCCAGTTTTAGGGTATACCCGCGCGGCTGTACTTTTAAAATATTCAAATATATTTAAATAGTAACGCCGCGCGGCTATACTTTTAAAATATTAATATATTTTAAAAGTATCTTATGAAAGCAGCAGCCTATTGAGAAAGTCTTAAAACTAGAAAAGCAACCTTAAGAAAGTCTTAAACATAAACTCCAACTTGACGATTGGCGAACCAAAGATTATATTTTATCTTTCATATTATAGTATAGACTATAGATAGGTTTTATTGGCTGTTGTGGAAATCAAGAAACAGCGGGTGAGAAAAATTCACAGTACCTTTTCACCACCAGATAAATTTGCAATATTCTTCCAACTCTTCTTTGGCGGTCTGACGCTGAAAACAACACCTTCAGAGAAAGGGTCCAGGGAGTCCACTAGCTCAAGTTCTGCATCACCTCCCAGCGTGATCATCTATAAATAACAGAAGCAAAAAAGATAAGGAATCATGCATTTAAAGGTAAAATCAAACGCATTCTCCAATTAGTACAACACCATTTGATACCAGCGTACAAGTGGCACAAGCAATGCCTGTGCTAATTCAAACTGTTCAACAAGCTCACTTGTAGACAGCATGGAAGGTAGAAATATAGATCCATCAAAACCAAGGAGAGAGAGAGAGAGAGAGAGAGAGAGAAACCTGATACATTTCCTTTAACTTCAAAGAGATTGCATTAAATCCTGCCATGAACTCATCCAACCTAAAATCATAATAATTTCAAATGAATAAGAGTTACAACTTATAAAAAAAATAGAGAACACATATAAACAGAAAGGTGTCATGCCTCTTCTTTCTCCACTCATCATACTGCCTCTTTATGTCATCACGCTGTTGAGTGACCATGTTAAGATCCTCAACTCGTTCATTATATGATGAGACCTTTCTCCGATACCTATTAAAATAAGCAATTAGAAGAACTATGCATTATACAAGCCAAATCATAAATATATTTGAAAATGAAGAGAAACCATACTCTGCAATTGAATCAAGATTCGGATTCATCTCTTTCAATTGCGCTTCAAGAAGTGCTACCATTTCAAGGGCCCTTTTAAGGTCACAAGGGTTATTTAGGACTTCATCTGCCAAGGTTGCTTGAAGCTTTTCAGAGTCCACCAAGTCTTTCTGAATTCTGCAAGCAAGAGATAGTGTTAATTACAGTGTTCAATAAACCATTCTAAACCAGTATTTTCTGAAATCCACATACTGTTCCATATGCTTTATAAGGGCAGTATGCAAGTCGGCAAGCCTTTTCTTGTAACCCTTCTCCTTCAACTCCAGCTCCTTTCCTAGCTTCTTCATATCTTGTAATTTAAAGTCAGCATCAACCTGTGACATCACCAAGTAATTGTTGATGGCGTTAATGGGGAAAAACAACCTGACCTGATAGATACAAAAAAGAGTAACAGCAGAATTCTAAGGTACCAGATTTGGTACTGTGCAGTACAAGTAGCATTCATGATCAAAGAAGACGGAAAGTAACCAATTACAGGTAAGTGCCACTTACTAACTCTATAGTTGTGCTTACTGCTTTGCAGATCAGGTTCTTCTAGTATTACGGGCATCGTTACCACCATTGGAATTTCAAAACAGTACTAATTTTGGCACTATAGAATGAGACAGTAAAAATACGCATTTTTCAGCATAGTACCTCTGATGCCCGCAAGTCATCCACAGTCCCTTTCATCTTGTTATAGTCAGATTTCGCTTCATCCAACACATCTCTATGTTTATCAATCAGCTGCACAGGATGTAACAAAATTATATAGCAGTAAGACACATTCTCTTTTTCAATATTACCCTGGTGCATGGAAATTGAGTAATTATAAAAGTAAACCTTCTGTATTTCCTCGTATTTCTCTTTAACTTTAAACGCCTTCTGTTCTATATCTTTGAATTTGTCAGACAATTTTTCCTTCTCCTTCTCAAGTCGTTCTTTCTCAATGTTCGATTCTTCAATCACCTTTGTCCGCTTCTTTAGTGTTTTCTGGCCAGTCTCAATTTGGACTTTGCGGCGGTCAATCTCAGTGTTCTTTTGATCAGTAACCTAGCAATTAAGTTGCACGAATTAGGACAGATTCAACAGACACCCCACTACAGTAGTTTAGATATTTCATAGTGACGCAAATACTTACAGACTGAATATTATTGACCGTTAACTTCTGTGCTTTTAGTCTTTCACCACCAGCATTTTCTATATTACTCTGTAGCTTCAAGGCCTAGAGACAACCAGAAATCAGTCAATAAAACCCAAAAAACAAAAAATCAAATCAAATCAAATAATGTGTATATGCGTCGTGTATGTGATAACTAGTTTATAGTTCCATCCGTTCTCAGAATTCTATAATTGAAACATGGTAGACCAGAAGATAAAGCACAAACTCAGCCTGTGAGTGAGTGCGTGTACTGTGTTTGGTTGTTCAGTTACCAAACATGATTAGCTGCTACTTGCAAGGACAAAAGTCATAAAAGAGTTCCTCACCTTCTCCTTCAGCTGCTTAGACCCTTGTGTAAGTTTATCCATCTCCTTTTCTTCAAGAGAAATAACATTCTTTAGTTCAGCTGGCCGATCAATCTCATCCTTCTTCGGCTGTGATGCAGCCTCCAGGGAACCAATTTGTTTCTCAAGATAACTATGTTGTGAATTCAAACTGTCGATCTGTTCAAAATTAAAACTTTTATTGAAGAAATTCTTCTCAAATAAATACAACCTAAGAGAATCCAATGTGCCATACTAAGAATCACCTCTTTCTGGCATTTAGCTAATTCCATCTCCAAGCGTGCAACTGTTTTTTCTGAGCCTTGATATCTCCGCACTGCATCAGCAATTTGTTGGCGGATGTTATTTAGTGAATCAACCATGCCTGCGAGCTCCTTCTCAGCATTTGCAACAGCTTCCCCAGAAACACTGGCAGCACGAATAGAAGTGCCCATCTTACCACCACGCGGCTTACTACCCCCACCGCTCATAGTACCAGATTTTTCAAATAGTGCACCATCAAGTGCTACCACTCGTCGAAATTCTCTGTTACCACCATATGCAATGCCTGTCGCCTAAAATTGAAAATAGAGTGCTATTTAATTGCTTGCCAAACTAAAATGAAACTTAATTGGAATGTAAAGTAAGCCACATAGGATCACTGATTGCATTTGTATTAGAAAATGGAGTTCAAATGTAATCTGATTCGAACTACTTTCAAAAAAAATGTAAGAGATCACTGCTTATGAATTGGTAATCATTTACCTCTCTATGTCAAAATCACTTATATGTTCTAAAATGCCCCATGAAGAAACGCCGCCCCTAGATCTTGGAATATTCTTGCCAGCTATCCTTATTATTATGTTCAACATTCTTTCAGACTTTTTTCATATTTGTTTTGGGTTTTACATTATGCAAACTTAAGAAGCACGACAATCATGCTATGCAAAATTAGGCTTAACTGAACAGAGACGGTGAAATTGATACATGTGGAAATTGGAATATACCTGGTCAAGATCTTTAGCTACAATGGTATTTCCCAATGCTGAATAGAATGCAAGTTTCATTCTCTCATCCTTAACTCTAACTAAATCAAAAAGGCGTGGAGCGCCTTCTGCAGTGCTGACATTCTCCTTCAACTTTGGTAAAAGATCAACTTGCTTTTCCTGAGACATTAAAATTACAAAATGAAATCAGAATTAGTAACTCCCCAATAAACTGCATGCAATGCATAATGCACTCAACTAATATTGTTGTACATTCCCCACAATGAGTGCCACCAATACATAACCTCCATTCACTAGGGTAATTAACTCACACCCCAACGCCAAACCTAATGTCTTCAAAATCCAAAAAGAACTTTGAAAATGTTGCAACTTCCCCCAATCTGATATGTGAATATACACTACTCTGAAGGTGTTCAGTCCAAAGGTTTTTAGGTGCTTAAAACAGTTGCTCAATGTTAGGATTTTAGGTTTATGCTGAAGACTACATGGAATTAATACCAATATCATAAAAGTTGCAATCCCAAGATTCTCCCTTCGGAGTAGCTCAACACATGCTTGTGCTGCACTAGTTGTTTCCACCACAATGTAGTCAAGTCCAGAGCAAGCTGTTGATATGGCAACGTCATATTTTGCTGCAAAGACAATGTCATTTCAAAAAGAAGTTAATTCCAAAAAATAAACTCAGTGTATATAGAGTGCGGTTTTGAGAATTAATAAAGTATGGGGTTAAGAAAAGGATATGCACTTCAGTTTGTTAAAAATCATAAGCACAGCAAGAAAGAAATCATGAATGTAAGTGCATGGAACTTTTCACTTGCCACCAGGCACTTCACCCAGCATCAAGTACAAATCTAAACTTCCAGGTAATTAACTATTTGTCAGTTAATGTATATCTGATGACAACAATAAATAAAACCAATCTGAAACTTGAGCAGAATAAAAGTTAACAGCAATCATACACTCAACCTCAATGCACATAACACTCACCGTCAATAGCACCTAAATCACCCATTCGGCCATGTAATCCCTGTATTCGGTTGGATTCCTTAGCATGTAAAATTGCTTTTAAAACTGTTCCTTGACTCCTTTCAGAATCCAAAATGGACTTAAGTTCTGCAACCTTCTGTCTTGCAGCTTGTTCACAAGGAATCAGAGCTTCTTGTTCTTTGATGTAATCCTGCAAGAAGTCATAAGTTCTCACCACATCCCTTGACATGCAAAACGATAAATTAACAAAAAACTTGAAATCTCAATAATGAAAACACACCTGTTCCTCTTTACGAGCTTCCATTCCTTCAAGCTTGCTCTTTTCTAATTCACTTTGAATTTTTGAAATGCCAGCAGTTTTTGTTTCGATCCTTCCCAATATATCATCCATTTGCTTTCGAGCATCTTCAAAAGCTGTATGACCAGCCTGATGCTGCAACAATTAGAAAAAATTAAAAAGTGAATTAAACTTTAGAACCAGATCAAAATAAACTTTAAAAGAAAAAAAAAAAAAAATTGAGCATCAACAATGAGTGCACTACCAAGAAATGAAATTGAGAATTCAATGGCCCCAAACATCTCGTGATCATTAGCATTTCAAAAAGGCACGGACTCGAAGCGTGGCAAGCCCATCTAAGTCAAGCTTAATGGAATTATGAAATATCTGAATTCTGGAAAGTTTGTCAATAAAAACTTTGCAGCGAATCACAGCTCCAGTATTTACATCAGCAGCGTAAACAACGAATATAATAGGAAAAGAAGTATATTATGCCGATTAAAATACCAAACAAACAAAGCAAGTAGAATTAAGCATTCGACAGATAGCTGAATGAAAAACTTACGTGCGGAGCCGATCGAGATAGATACTGTTTTCTTGCTTTTCATGGTTCAATCTTAATTTGATTTGATTTTGGTGAGGCAGAGGAGAGAGGTGAAGGGATGTCGGTGAGAGGGAGAAAGATGGGGGAGGAGGGAAGGGAGTTGTTGACTGTAACAGTGCAAGGAGTTTAAAGAATTAAAAAATTCATTAAATGACGTGGCACATTCGTCATCGCTAGATAAATTTGGACGGTCAAGATGATAACAGATGGATAGTAAACGACAAAGGGTAGTTTCGTAACTCTAAGCAAACCCTAATTGATACTATATAAACACACATCTATCTGCCTCCGAACATAACATCCTCTCCCTTTAGTTTATGTCTTTATTTCATGTTCGTTATCTTTTGAATAACCAGAAATATAGAGTTTTTGAGGGAAAGATGAAGTCTTTGAGGGAAAGATCTATCTTTCCCGATGATTCATGTTCTTTGAGTTGATGTTCATTTTCTTATACTCTCTTTAGTTCATGTTCGTTATCTTTTGAATAATCGGAAATATATAGTTTATGTTCATGTTCGTTATCTTTGAATAATCGCAAATATAGTCTTTGAGGGAAAGATCTATCTTTTTCCGATGATTCATGTTCTTTGAGATCTATCTTTCCCGATGATTCATGTTCTTTTAGTTGATGTTCATTTTCTTATACTCTCTTTAGTTCATGTAATAATCGGAAATATATAGTTTATGTTCATGTTCGTTATCTTTTGAATAATCGGAAATATAAAAAATTTATATTTAAAATCTATGCACTCCCATTGGTTGACCTAACAGTAGTGGCACTGGCAACCTCTAGGATCTCACAGAGATCACCTCATTCGCATCCGCGATCACCTCAGCTGCATCTGAGATCTCCTCCGTCGAATCAAGATTCCGGACGGAGAAGGTCCGGATGTGGATGTTGCGTCCAAGATTGTATTGGAAAAACAGAAATACTTGAATTTGATAATTTTACTACTTACAAAGGTTATGGCAAAAACAGAAATACTTGAATTTGATAATTTTACTACTTACAAAGGTTATGGCAGGACCATCCAGACCGACGAATTCAGCAGCATCTTTTTCACAGGTGTCTTTGCCCACTGTGGAAAAAATGCTGCTGAATTCGTCGGTCTGGATGGTCCTGTTATTAGTCACCTTTCTTTTGTAAGTAGTAAAGTTATCAAATTCAAGTATTTCTATTTTTCCGGTATTCCTGATCTATGTCTTTTGCCAGCCTTCGCCTTCCTGTATACTGGAGTTCGGTGGTGCTTCAAAACGAAATCCCAGACAATCTGGTGCAGGAGCTGTGCTACGAGCTGAATATGGAAGCGCTGTATGCAGTTCGTTGAGATAATTGTGGTTCTTTAAGGGCATATTTTCTTGTCAAATGTAGCTGTTAACCATTCATTTATAACATGTGATTTTATAGGTCTACTTGGTACGTGAAAGGGTGGGCATTGCATCAAAAAGCGTTGCTGAATATCGAGCTGTAATTTTGGGATTGAAATACGCTCTTGAAAAAGGATATAAACACATTCGTGTTAAAGGACACTCTAAACGTGTCTGCATGCAGGTTTGTATATGTTACAGCACTTGAGTTTTGTAGTCTTTCCCTTTCGTTCCCTTTTGTTACCTGTATCCTTGAAAATTCATTTCATATTTTATTTGTTTATTAAGTCCTATGAGCTCTTTGATATCAGGTTCGGGGTTTCTGGAAAACCAAAAAACGGAATATGGCTGAGCTTTGCCAAGAGGCCAGGGAGCTCAAGAAAAAGTTTATGTCATTTGATATCAATCATGTTCTTGAGGTATGTACAGTTGTGTGCTGGAAGAAATTTTTGTATGTGATACTTGTATAATAAATCTTCAAGACTTCAAGAACTTAATATGATGAGAGCATGGGAATGGATCAAAAATTGAATTCTGTTTGATTCTGTTAATTGGACAATGGTAATTTTATCAAAATGTGCTTCGATGGCCTGAGAATGAGATAATCTGCTATTGCTGCAGGTTTACAATTCTGACGCTGTTGTTCAAGCAAAGCGAGCAATTAATCTTCAAGGTCAGTGGTTTCCAGCTCTGTTGAATTTTTGTGATTTTCATAGTCTATACTTGGTTTTCCATTTATGAGAACTGCTTGGATTTTATTCTTGAACAGATGGACAAGTTGAAGTGGATTGGAACGGGAAGTAAGCTCAAATGATGGAAAGGGAGACGGTTTTGGATAAACATAATGCTTTTGGATTCTGTTGGACTTGTTTAAACATAATGCTTTTGGATTCTGTTGGTTAAGATGTATTGAAATGCACTGCTTTTTAACTTCTGATGGAGCAAGAGCTCCTTAGTATGTACATCCTAATTTCGACTCTGGTCTGTTAAATTCTCTGGGATCCTAATTCCAGCTGTTAAAATTGGCTTAGAGAGTCTTCGTTCAAACTAAGTTGCTTGTTAATTTACCCATCTAATGGTTGATGAGAAGAAGAAAATCAAATGGACGGCTCTGATTAATTTCAAATCGAATATAAGACTTCAAATGCATGAACAAATACTCAGTCACTGGATCTACAAGCTCTCAGAGGTGTTTTTCAATCTACTATGCTAGAACATGCATTTCACAAGCGACCCTTGCATCTGCCTGAAATTGCAGCTGGTGTTTTGTTTCTTGAATGAATCAAATTTTGGGGCATTGTTTCTTTTCTGGTGATTTTTGTATTTGGGTAAATGGCCGAAAACCCCTGGAATATTTGGCTTGTCGAAATGTCCACTTTGAATTTTTTTTTCAGCCAATTTAGCACTCAGATTATTTTAAATGGTCAATTTAGCCCATGTCGTTAGTTGTCATGCAATTTCATTCATGCCTCTCCCTCCTCCACCAAGCGCTACACCAAGTTCTCCGTCATCGGCGTCGGCAACTTGGTTATGGCCTTCGCCCAGACCAATCCTCACCCAGACCAAACTCAAGAAGCTCTGCGGCGAGATGCTCGACCTCCAGTACTCTGCCGCCTCTGTCCCCCTCACCAAGATCATAGCCGACGTCGACTACGCCGTCACAATTGGATCCGACCTCTGCATCGTCACCGCTAGTGGCGCCAGATCCTCAGCTAGTCCAAGCTCAACTTGCTCCATTGGAACGTCGGCCTCTTCCGCCATTAGCGCCAGATCCTCAGCTAGTCCAATATATTGATACTCATAAACCAAAAAAACCTGAGAAATTTCATATCAAAACCCACCATTAGAGAAGCAAACAGAGAAAACATCACCATCTATGAAGAAAACCCAGAAAATAGGTTTTTGGAAAAATAGATCTAAGTTTAGCCTATTTTTTGTTTTTAAATTTTTTAAATTTTTTATTAATATTGTACTTTGTAAAATGACAAATTTACCCTTGTAATTGACGGAAAATTGGATGGAAGTGTAGAAACTTGACGGTAGGTGTTAAATTGGCAATAAAATTTATTATAAGGGCTAAATTGGCAGAAAAAATAATTTAGGGTAGACATTTCGACAGTCGAAATAGTCCAGGGGGGTTTTCCACCATTTACCCTTTAGGAAATTATTTTGGGCCTAGTGATTAAATTTAATACGAAGGCTAAATTGGTTGAAAAAAAAAATCAGGGTGGACATTTCAACAAGCCAAATAGTCCAGGGTTTTCAACCATTTACCCTTTCTTTTATATATAACTTAAGTGACATGGGATGGTTATATTAATTCTTTTGATGCAAATTAGGTAGCAATCAACATCACCGTGCAAAGAAATCATAGATTTTAGTGTTCTTTTATTTGCATATGCGTTCTCACTATTCTGGGATGAGCGATCATAGACCACTCGGAATCAGAAATCAGGGGTTTAGGGTTTTGGGGGTATAAGCGTTGTAGAGAAAAATTGAGAGGGAATATACTTGATTCAGGGGTGTGAAAACGTGGCCCCAAGTGATTGGTGGTGAGGTTAATAACCGTCAGATTAGTGGAAAGATATCGAGGTTTATTTTGGAGGGAGTGGATGGCCACCGAGTCACCGACCAGCGACAATGTATATATTGTACTTTGGTCATTGAATCTTGTGCATGATTTATTTTCTTCTTATGTTAATTAGGATCCTTTTAGCCTTTCAGATGGAAATGGATTCAAGACAAGCTCTATGAGACTTGGAGCAGATGTTATTGTCTTCAGTCGCCACTTGAAATCAAGGTCTTGCCCAAGAACATATTATTTCACTTTTACTTACTCTGCTTGTAGTATGAAGTTCTAGTTAAATCCCCTAAAGACCATAAAAAATGGCAGTTGATAGCTAATTTTATTTTTTTTGGGATAAGAAATGAATTGGCAGCGTGATTTACTAATGTACATTATTATGTCTCACTTTTGTCTTTATATTTTTGTTTCTAGCGCAATATTAGGAAGTGGAGATAACCATGAAGTTGGGATCCAACCTTTTTATAAAATAGAGATAGTACTTATTTTGTATTTACACTGTTGGTATATAATGTTGACTGCATAAGGTTCTGTTTGCATTGGTGTATAACCTTCTCAGGTCACTGACTCAAAGTGTTGGGACTCCTTTCTTATACATTTTTGAGGCAGGTGGGCTACGACAAGATAGTTGTACCAACGGTGAGTTTGATTTCATAGCACCCTTTTATATGTGATAATATCTTTTGCAAGTTCACCCAAACTAAAATTGGTATAATAATCCATGCCAAATTGTGGAGTCTACAATAGGTGAACATGCTGTGTAAGCAGTGTTAGTGTCCTGTCTGAAAGTTAATAAATGGCCTACTTGAACATGGCCAGAATTACTATCAGGGACTTCCTCCTTGAAGACTAAAAATCCTCCTTGAAGACTAAAAATTTAGCAGAGTGGATGTGATGCAGAATCAATAGTAGAAAAGAGATCAATTCAATTCCCTAGTTGACCACATATTCCTAAAATTATGGTTCTCATCATTTGCCGTCAAGATGATCACAACTTAGTGAGAGTATTTGGTTTTGTATTGTCTTTGATTTATGAACAGATAAATTTCATAAGGCTTCAACATAGGCTATCACTTTATTAGGGCAGGGACCTTGTAATGCCATTTTGGTGTTACCATAAACAAGGCCACTGAAAGTGATCTTTCTGCATATTATTTGATTTCGGTCAGTAGCAGAACCCCATTCATGGTTCATTTATCAGTGTGAAATGCTGTGAGTTGATTTCTAATTTTTTTTTTTGTTAACCCAAATGGAATTCATTAATGTACGATTGATACTATTTTCAGTTTCTTTATTATAGGAATCTAATAACTATTTAACTCAGAACTCAGTATGGGTATTCCTGTTACTACAGGTGGATTATGAGTTTAACTCATCAGCCAGAACATTCAACCCCATAATTCCACATAATGAAGACAAGTTTTCTTCTAACCTCACCATGCTGTTACACTGGTCTCCTTATTCAACGGAAGAGGAGTTGCTGAAGCAAGTAAGCCTGCAATAATTTGGCATTAATCTTAGCATAAAACTTACTGCTGCATTCCTATGAGTTGCTGAAGCAAGTAAGCCTGCAAACATACAGTTCTTTATTAATGAGGTGATTTGGATTGGACCCTAAATGAAGTGTTAAAAATAAGAGAGAGGCTTATTTATTATAGCAAGCAATTGTTATTGTGCAATTGGCCCTTTATCATGTGTGTGCACATATCCTTACATGCGTACACACATCCTTACATGTGTACATATACACATACATGCATTCATGCTGACATGGTATGCATGTAAGTATATTACCTATTTGATTTATTAACCCAATTGTCAGTTTGATGATTTAGGGGATCATGGAACAAAACTTGTCATTTACAATCTTTGGTTAAATGATGATGGGGACATGGAACTAGATTTTGATTCTGATCCCGAGGTTCTGATCATCCCTTTGCTTCATTCGTT